CTAAAATAAGGTGGTAAATTAATTAATAGTATTGTATTACTGTAAATTTCCTGGTTTTGATCATTGAACTATGCTTATGTAAGGTGTTTATGTTAGAAGAAGATGGATGAAGGTTATATGTAAACTCTATACTGTTTATACAACTTTTCGGCAAGTCTAAAAATATTTCAAAATGTAAAAGTAAAAATAAAAAAAAATAAAAAAAGCCCAGAAGAGAGAGATGATGAAACTAGCAGGCAAGGACATTTAAGCAGCTATTGTAGCCATAATGAAGTATTTAAAAGAAAACATGAGTATAATGAGGAAAGAAACTGGAAGACATAAAAAAAGAACCAGTAGAACATCTAGAACTAAAAAATACAATTTTTGAAATAAAATACACTGAGGTTAACAGAAAATCAAACACTACAAAATAAAGTAACCAGTTTATGCCAGATGAATGTACAATAGAATACTACTCAGCCATAAAAAATAATTAAATATTGTCATTTTTGACAACATGGATGGATCTGGAGAGTATTATGCTAAGTGAAGTCAGTCAGATGGAAAAGGACAGGAAAGGTATGATTTCCCTTTTATGTGGAACATCAAACAAAAAAGTAACAAACATATAAACAAAACAAACAAAAACAAACTCATAGATACTAACAACTGAATGGTGATTACCAGAGGGGAAAGGAGCTGGGGGGAGGAGCATGTTGAGTAAAGGAGGTCAAATATATGATGGCAAAAGAAGACTAGACTTTTGGTGGTAAGCACTCAATAGACTATACAAATATTGAAATATAATGTACATCTGAAATTTATGTTATTAACCACTGTTACCTCAATAAATTTAATACAAAAGCAAAGCAGAAATAAGACACTGATGAAAACAAACTTTAAAATATAGTAAGAGGAACTATCTAAAATAGATTAAAAAAAATGACAGAAAGTCAGTGAAAGGACCTGTGGGACAAATATCAAGTGGTCCAGTGTGCATGTAATTGAAGTCCCAGAAGCTGAGGTGAGGGAAGAAGGCAGGGAAGGAAGAACAGGAAAATATTTGAAGAAATGTTGGCCAGAAATTTTCTAAATTTGATGAAAATTATAAATTCAAAGATTCAAGAAGCTCAACAGATCCATAAACTGGATAAACACAAAGAAAACCACATCAACAAACCATAATCAACTTGCTGGAAATTAATAATAAAGAAAGAAAAACTTGAAAGCCAAGGAGGGAAGGGGACACATATAAAGTGGAAGAAATACAAGAATTATCACAGATGTCTCATTAAATATTATACAAGCCAGAAGACAGTGATTCTTTAAAAGTGTCAAAGAAATTAATAAATCTTTAGCTGGATTAATCAAGAAAACAAAAAAGAAGACATCAATGACCAATATCAGACATAAAAGAAGGAATATCACTATGGAGCCACAGATATTAAAGGGATAATAAAAATATGAAGAACAACTTATGTCAATAACTTTGACAACCTACATAAAACACGCATATTTCTTGAAAGATGTAAATTACTAAAACTGGAACAAGAAAAAGGAGAAAATTGGAATAGCTCTGTATTTATATAAAATTGAGTTTTTAATTTAGAACTTTCCCAGCAAGAAAATTCCAGGCTCAAATAGCTTCCCTGGTGAATTCTATCCAACAGAAAAGGAATAAACAACACTGACCTCACACAAACTCTACCAGAGAATAGGTGATGGGGGAATATTTCCCAAGTCATTTTACAAGGTCAATTTACTCTGATACCAAAACTAGACAAATCATTAAAAGTAAGGAAAACTGCAGACCAATATCCCCCATTAACAGAGATACGAAAATCCTTAGCAAAATATTATAAAATACAATACAATACTACATACGAAAATAATAATACACTGTGACCAAGTAGGATCTCAGGGGTATAAAGTTAGTTTAACATTCAAAAACCAATCATTATACTGCACATATTAAAAGTATTCCTTCATTAAAAGAGGACTACATGATCATCTCAATGGATGCAGAAAAACTGACAAAATTCAATATTAATTCATGATATTCTCAGTGAATCGGGAATAAAACTTCAACACTATGAAGAAAAACTACAAAAAACCCACACACATAGATCTATAGCAATGAGTACTCCTAGACCGTGGTTTCTAAATACCATTCTCTACTGAAAGGAAGCCTGGAAGAGCCTGTTGTGGAACCAGGAGGAGAGTTTTAAAAAATGATAAAAATATACCAAAAAGATACAGGAACCAACTTGAAGGGGCTCCCACTGGCCCTTTTGGGACAATGTAAGCATCAAAATAAATAACAAAAGAATGTAATATAACCCACTAGATAAAATCTTCAAGTCCATACTGATGGAAGTTCATATATGAATAAATAAGTAGATAAGTGAAAGCTCTTCCTTTTAGAAAAAGATGGCAAATGGTCAGTAAACATGAATATATAAGATACAAGAAATAAAAACAGAAGAAATGAAGGAGTTAGAAAAATCATCAGTACATTCTAAAACTTGTAGGTGAATGTTTGATGAAGAACATTTCTTCCAGGTTAAAGACTGTAACATCTTCATCATCAAAAAAGAGAAGGCTCAGTGCGAGACAATTTTACCACTTAAATTCTTTAAAATTTTCCAGAAATAGATTGTTCCTATGCAATGTTATTCCTTCCAGAACATTGGAAAAGAGGGAAAGCTAGAATAGTTCTTATACTAAAACCCAACAGCAATATTTCTTTTGAATATAGATGAAAAGTCCTAAATAAAAGCTTTGAAAATTAGATTTGACAGCGGCTAAACCAGATAGGGAAATCTATGCTGTCCTTGATCTACTGTCAGGTAGGAACTCAAGGACAGTATAATAGTGATAAATACTCCATAGTCCTAGGTGCCAAAGACATAGCTGATATAACGCATACCAATTACTAATTTCAACTTTAGAGAAACTATAAGTATTGAAAGTAAATATAAAAAATTGATATTTTACTCATCTTAACAGCTAGTGTCAGAATTAGTGGTAAAGTATAGTAATAAAATCACAAATTAGACGAAGATGACTACTATTACTACTCTACAACACATGTTATCCTAGCTATTCTCATCATGGTAATATAATAGAAAACATATAAAAGAGGTATAACTATTAGAAGGAATTGCACACAATTTTTTCAAAGTAAGATTATATACCTTATTATGTATTGTAAACCCAATATGAATATGAAAAAAATTTAAAGTAATAGTTTAGTGAACTGGTTATTTAAAATATAAATATATATAAAATGTAACATTTACCACAAAATAACCAGTTAGTAGATCTAACTTAAAAAAAAAAAAAAAAGATTTCCATCATAGCAACAGAAATACCTAGAAAAAAGAAGTATGTAGAACTTATATGAAGAACCAAATGTTAGTGAAAGGTATGATTTGGATTTTAGTTAATACAGAAAAATACTATATTTTTAAATAAAAACATTAAATTTAGTAAAGATGTCTATTTTCCCCAAAATCTTATGGATCTAATAAAACTATGAATAAAATTCCCATTGGAACTTACTTTTAGAACCTAACAATAATCCTACAAAACTAATGGAAAAATAAACAGGTGAGAAAATAACAAAAATAGAGCTTTTCTCACAGCATATTTAAATATAAATTATCTAGATTATTTAAGTAACTAAATATAAAACAAAAATATCTGTTAAAAAAAGTAGGAGAAAATAAGTGACTAATAAACTTCCCTGTAAAGAGAAACATCTTTCTAAGTATANAAGAAGTATGTAGAACTCATATGAAGAACCAAATGTTAGTGAAAGGTATGATTTGGATTTTAGTTAATACAGAAAAATACTATATTTTTAAATAAAAACATTAAATTTAGTAAAGATGTCTATTTTCCCCAAAATCTTATGGATCTAATAAAACTATGAATAAAATTCCCATTGGAACTTACTTTTAGAACCTAACAATAATCCTACAAAACTAATGGAAAAATAAACAGGTGAGAAAATAACAAAAATAGAGCTTTTCTCACAGCATATTTAAATATAAATTATCTAGATTATTTAAGTAACTAAATATAAAACAAAAATATCTGTTAAAAAAAGTAGGAGAAAATAAGTGACTAATAAACTTCCCTGTAAAGAGAAACATCTTTCTAAGTATAACATTATACAATACTTTTACAGTTAATCAGAAAAATAATGACACTCCAACAATTTAACACAGGGCATAAACAGATAATTCTCTTTATAAGATGACAACAATCAGTAAGTGTGAAAAAAAAATAAATTCAATATCATTACTAATGGGAGAAATGTGAATTAAAACTACAATAAAATGACTTTTCCCCCACTTATTTGCAAAGATAACATCTAAAGCTAACAAGGTGGAACTGAATAAGAACTCACATCACCATTTGTTAGAGTGCAAAGTACTATGAAGTTTTTGTGAAATATATTCCCACAAATACATATTTGCGGAACTAAGTTACAAACCAGTAAGCCCACATCCATAAGTCCATCCTAAGGAAACAATAAAAGACGTGGACAAATATTTACATATAGTCTGAGTATTCAAATAGTGAACAGTTGAAAATAATCTAAACATCCAAAATAGGGTCATGGTTATTAAATAATCAAGTATCCAAATAACTAAAAATTACTGCCATTAAAAGAGAATATTAAGAGCCTAGACAAATGATCACAAAATGTCAAGAAAAAAAGGTTATAAAATTATAATTCCTTTAAAAAATTATTATAAAATGCACCGTATTATCTCTGGGTAATGAAAACTTGGGAGACTACAATTTTTGTTTTGTACTTTTATTTTTTATAAAGAACATGTATTCATAAAACAGAAAATGCCATTAGACAAAAGCTAAAAACTAAAGGCTTTTAAAAAGTAGTAATCAGATAGCTTTGCTATCTGATTTCTCTCAGTATATTGAAAACCATATTGCTATAGCTACCATTTGGCAAAGTTGCATAAAATAACAGGCACATATTCAAATATTGTCACATGTCAGTTTATTGAGGAAATTGAGATGCTAGAGGTTAATTCTAGTCACTTGATTACTTCTCAGTATGTCAAAGAAGACTCCCAAGTCCACAAGTCATTTAGTTACATAATTACTTTCCCATATTTTGTTCAGGAACATAAAATTCTAATACAAAGAAATGTTCAAGTGAATCTAAAAACTGCTCTTTTTATTTTTAATTTCAAAGGGTGGTGATTAAGGGTGAGGAAGTACAGTGACATGGAGGAAGGACAAATATGGAACATGTAAAAGACAAACATTTTTGCTAGGTTTTATTTTTTATTTTCAAATTTTCAAATCTTTCCAACTTTTTTTTAATTTTTGCACCAAAAAAGGAATCAATACTTTTCATTCCAGTCTTGTCAACTTTAGCCAACGCCTTTTGAGCTGCAGTCATTTTGCTATTTTTCTGTTAATGAAAATAAGAGAGAAAAATTGTTTTGAATGCAGTATTTATAAATCACACATGCAAATCAAATCAGACCTTCATGTCTCAAGGTTCATTAAGGGAGGTAAGCATTAGATAACATGCTTCATTAAGGGAGTGATTATTTTAAAAAGTTCTGATTTCTATTCAGAATTCAAACCTGAGAGACAAAATACGTTAAGAGGAAGAGACTGCTACCTTCTCAGAAGTGGAATGTTACAACCTACAGTTTACTGTGCTGGGAATAATTCTGGAGGGTGCATTAAGTTTAATAACACAAATAATGGAACTAACATAGGCAGCAATTGTCAGAGAGAGGAATTATAGCCTTGTATTACTACATGATGAATAATTCACAACAATTTACCATCTGATTTTATTCAGAGGCTCTACGGCAGGGGTGGGGAGCCTTTTTTCTGCCAAGGGCCATTTGGTATTTATAACATTATTTCCAGGCCATACAAAATTATCAATTTAAAAATTAGCTATGAGAAAGCTCCTAGATTTATTGAATTTCAAGTCCGGCCTGTGGTTACCTTGGCAGGGCCAGACCAAATGATTTCACAGGCCCAATAAGGCCCACAGGCCTGACGTTCCCCACCCCTGCCTAAGGGAAACCAAGGACATAAATGGTAATAAAAGAAGACTTGACTTGGGGTGGTAAACACACAATACAATATACAAAACTGTATACCTGAAACCTATATAATTTTATTAACTAATGTCACCCTAATAAATTCAATAAAAAAATAAATGTTAAAAAATATATTCAAAAGATAACCAGGTAGTTGGCCCATTTTCCTTCCAACAACAAAATACTTTCCAAAAAGCTGACTCCAAATATCTCTGCCTTATAAACTGCTCTCTCTTCCTGGTCACTGTTTTTTTGTTTAGTTTTGTTTTTTGTTTCCTTTTTTTGCCACATACTAGCAGAAGGTAAATAGCAGCTGATTTTATTTTGATAGATTACAACTTGTTCAGCAGAAGCATAAATAATGGGAATCAGCAAAGAAAAAAATCAACTACCTCCCTGGGAACTGTGAGACAAAGTTATTGCCAAAGTATCTTTTAGGGCACAATACATGATCCCTGAAAGTTTGCTTCTCACATTCTGTCACTTATAATTTAGTAGAGTTAGTGAAAAGTGACAGTCTCTGCAATAAGTCATCCTCTGAATTAAATGACACCCTGGACCAGTCCCTTATCTCACTGGTGCTTCGCCCAAGGCCATACAATGGGTAGTTAGAAGGGTGGGGCAGAAATACTTCCCACAGAGAAACTAAAAAATGCCCTTGCTTACAGAAACCATGGAGATAACCAGCTATTTAGTCATCTCAAAATGAATTATCCTCTGATATCAAATGCCCAGATAAATTATACATAGATTAAATAATAACATTTATTAAAAACTTTAAACTATAAGGGAAGTAAATGTTGTGAAAATCTAAGTAGAAGTTAACTCATCTTGGGATGGGCAAGGTCTTTTAGAAAGACCTTTTTTTTTGCTTAGAGCAAAAAAAGAAGAGCAATTTTTATATATAATCCTCAGAAAAACTTAGAACTATTTAAAAATAAAATGAAAATGCTATACAAATTGGAAAATTCTTTATACCTTCCTTATATGCCATGAAAAAGTGTCAATAGCCTTAATTTAGAATGAGCTCTTACAAATCAACAAGGGAAACATTTCTATCCCAATATAAAAACAGGCAAGAGACATGAACTGACAATTTGCATAAACGCAAATGGACAATAAGCATTTGAAAACACAACTAACTTTCTACTTAAAGAAATGTAGCCTAATTGCACAGGCAAACATTTTCAAGAATAAAAATAATACTCAGTGTTGTCAAGAATGCAAGATGAATACTGATCAGGAATAATGGTTAGGAGTATAAATTTCTACTATGTTTCTGGAAAGTATTTTATATGTATATCTCCAATAATTATGGAAGGAGCTCATGTTTTTTAAGCTCTTACTCTTAGTTCTAAATTGTGTCTAATGAAATAATCAGAGATGTAGACTATAAAGAAAAATGTATATCACTTCATAAAACCAAAAAATAAAAAAAGAAGTTAAGCTCCTATATGTTAAAAAATAGAAGCATGATTAAATAAACTATATTTCATATGGTAAAATAACACACAATTGAATATGATGAAAAATAAATTTTAAAAGCATGCTTAATGATGGGAACATTTTCACAATATAGTGATAAATGAAGGGGGCAGAACTCAAAACTATATATACACACACATATATATATGCATACACACACTCACATATACATATATACACACACATATATAAACGCCAATGTAAAAAGAAATATAAATTTATAATGCATGTATAACATAATTAGTAAGAAATGTTACAAAAAAAATTTGCCCAGGTGATTACTAAATGGTACAGTTATTAACAATTTTTGTCATTGTCGTAATTTCTGGGAAGCTTCTGGGTAGTAGAGCTGAATGAACCATTATCGGTGGCAGCTCCCTCCCTCTGCCCCACCCTATCCCTCTGAATACCTGCAAAGTTTAGGCACACTGTTGCTAACTATATTGCCTTTCTTTGATTCCTAAAAGCTTCCTTGCTTGACATTTTCATTGTCATTCACAATTTTAAATTGATGATTAAGTCACAGAAATAAACTTAAGTCACAAGTTAATAATTCTTCATGGTTAAAACTGTAAAATCAAAATCAAGCATGCAATCATTCCCAGATGTCCCCACGCAGCATCGCCCACTCAGTCTAAGCGTATGTCACTACATCTGGACACACATACCTTTTCAGTCTTCATATCTTTGGTATTAAACTTAGTGTAATCTTCTTTTGCTTCTACAGGCTCATCTGATAACTTTACCTTCTGCAAATGTTAGAGCAGTGAAGTGGTGTAAAACGTCACCTTGACACATTAATCCATTTAAAAAGAACCAACGTGCAATTTGGACCCACAGTGAAGCCAAAAGAAGTAGCTGACCCTGCAAATGGCTTATTTTTTAAAAGCTCCTTTACATTTTGCTGATTATTTAGGGAACTAAGTGACACAGCCCTTCTGAGGAGCAGTTTTGGTGATGGGGGATATAATTAGGCAAGTCCCAGCCCCAGCCTCTAGTCAATCTAGCAGTGTTGTTCACATACTTTGCCTGTACCAGGGACAGTGACTGCTGACTTCTAGGACAGTTTAAGGGGGTGAATGCAGGCACAACAGCAAAGATGAGAATTTCCTTTAAGGGGGCCAGCTGTCCAGCCAGATCCTCTACTTCATTCACCTCCTGGGCTGGTGTGATGTCCATATAGAAATAGCGCTTATCATCTTTGTATAGCTTCAAGTTGTTACCTCCTTTCAATTCAATAACCTCATTTTATCCACATAAGAACAACTTTACAAAGCAAGCAGCCAGCAGGAGAAGGAAGCACAGAGACATTAAACAAATAACTTCCGGCGACCTAGCAGAGGAGTTGGGGTCAGATCTCAATTTTTGTACAAGTGCTCTTTCCATTAGGCCCAATGCACTAAGTCAACCTTCACTTCATGTTTTCACCTTTCACATGAGTATTTTACACCAATGAACGTGAGAATCTTGTCAAGAGCTAGACTTAGCCTTAGTGTTCACATTACAGAAGGAATCATGCCACATTTATTATGTAAAAGGCACACAGCAGGGCAGATAACTCTTTAGAATGGAGCATTGGCTACACAGAGATCCCAACTCAGAATTCTGCATACCTTCAGGTATAGGGGGGATAAATGGTGAAGAAAAATTAAAATAAAGAAAAGAAGAAAAAAAAAGAATTTTGAGATCTTCAAGCTCTTTGTGGACACCAGGTTGATAAGACCCAACATGGATCCACCCTAGGAAATAAAGATTTGTTCCCAGCTTCAGTCTTCACACCCCAGCTTTTGCTAAACACAGAACTGGTAGAGCTGGTGCTACAAGATGCCACAGCGCATGCATAACAGGGGATAAAACAACATGCCTTGAAATTCTTCACTGGAACAAATAGAGGGGCATCTAGGAATATGTCACATAATGGAGAAAACTTTCTCTTGGCCACACAGCAACCTCTAGCAGATGAATCTTCAAAAGAAAAAGACTAGTTTATCATGTATGAACTACATACTAGCAAAGTGAATGTAGGTGAACAGGCAGCTTTCCTAAGAATACATGTTTCTATTAAAATGAAGATAGTGATGCACATTTTTACTAGGAAACTATTTTCAACTGGGAGAGAAAAGCATAGGTGATGATAAAGGCTGTAGGTTTCACAACCAAAAAAACTTAAAGTTATGAGGATGTTTGCTTTTCTCCTATGGCAAAATGTTCTAATACACATGTTGTCATAAATATATGGGCATATTCACTTTTCACTGATAAGTCAAATAAAAATGGCAAGAGCTTAAGATGAAAGATGTTTCCTTACAAATATTAAACATATAACAAGATGGCTGACTTGTTCAGGTGCTTTAAGGTTCACTATTAAACAAGACATCAGTTATAAGTACTTACAAAAAAAAAATGGTGGTGGTAGTCTCTGCACATAACTAGGTTTTATGTTATTCCCAGCACACTGTTGAGTATGTTGGGGAAAGAACCCCATAATGGTTATATTTACTTATTTTTTTTGTTACTTAAAAGACTGAATTACTATGGATTTGGGGGAATAAGAGTATGACTAAATGGGTTCACTTCTGGAAAGAGAAGAGCAAACAGCAGAGTACCTCAGGAATTAATGCTAGGGTGGATTGGTCTTATCATTCTTACAAATGATTTGCAAGAAGAAACTGAGGAACATCTCCAAATCCACTGACTGCATTCAGCTCTGCTAGCTGACAGTGCTAATTCAAAAGATGGCAGAGGGTGAGGGTTGGAAGCTGAGTTTCAACATATGCAAACATATGATAGTAATAAAGTAATGCAAAACATATTAAGGCTGACAGGCTCCATGCTATCAATTACAACACAGATACAAAGACACCTAAGAGCCACTGCAAAGTATTTCCTGAAGACAATCAACTAGATTAGTGTAAAAATCAATCAAATCCTGGACACAGACAGGAAAGCTAGCAGAAGACAGTGTCCTACGCTTGTTTAAACTGTGGTACTTCATCCAGTGCAGTTTGCATTGTGTACACTGGAGCCCCAGGAAGACATGATAGAGTAGGAGATCTTGAAAAGCAACTAAAATAATACAGGAGGCAAGGCTAAGATTGGGAGGAGCAGGATGCTGAGATCTAAATCAGAGCTTGGCAAACTACTGTCCATGGGCCAAATCCAGCTGGCTGCCTGCTTTCATAAATGAAGTTTTTCTGGAACACAGTGCACTAGTTCGTTTATGAATTGTTTGTGGCTGTCTTTGCACTATAACAGCAAAGCTGAATAGTTACAACAGAGATCATCTGCTTCATGAAGCCTAAAATACTTATTAACTGCCCTTTACATAGTAAATTTGCTGACCCCTCATCTAAATCATAAATGAAGAAATCACAAACAACTTACATTTTGGAATTAAAATAAGAAAACAGAAAACTGGGTCCAAGAAGAATAAACTTATGAAACACATCACCCCAGATGGAATCCAAGGCTAAAAGCTTCAAGAATAGGTTTAGATCCATTCATGAATGATCCCCAGGAAGACATATATTTGGGAGAAGGAAATATGCTTAGTTTTTGGAGAAAGAGAAAAAAGTAAGACACCAATACTCCTGTTCTCTTAGAGAATTATGTCTCTGTCCCCTAGGGCCACTGTCAGAGACAATGGATTACTGGGCTAGAAGAAGTGTGGTCTGACTTCTGCCCAGTGCTGTTCCTCCAGAGAGTGAAAGGTAAACCTCCTTTGATAATCAGCTAAGAACGGCCCACAATTCCCACTGACGCACTGCAAATTTTCCAACCTTTCTAAAAGTCAAAGTAATAAATGTTTTCAGAACTACCACCAATTCCAAACAGGACATGATACAAAAAGTCCTAAGAATGTTGGCCACCTTGAAGGCAGGTAAAAAGGAAAGTTGTTTAACATCCACAACATGTCCACATCACATTCTAAGGCATTTGCTATTTTCACTGACAGGCTGGCATGTGTCTATTTCCCTGTGCTGGAGGTCAGGATGGACTGGACGCCACCATGTGCCATCAGGTGTAGCACCTGACTGACTCCTCTACTCTCCCAATCTGGAGACAAACACGAGCTGTAGCCCACAGCACAGAGGAGCTGTGGGTAGCAGTGTGAGAAACATCTGAAAAAGGAAAAGGCTTTCCACTAACAGATAAATTATATACAAATTGTGTTGCTCAGTTCAAGTACAGAAAAAAAGTACGGTCATCCTTGCTTAAAGGATTCTTTGCGTTACAGAAGTCATGCTCTATGCACCTTTGTGCCAGTGAAAACTAGATTTAGCAAAATTTTAGTATTCCTAGTGATTAATAAAGCTAATTACAGGATCTAGGTAATAATAATATTTAATTATAATTATATATCTACTATATTTTTATATAGGTATCTGGATAACCAACTTTTATTGAGTTTTGATAGTCCTTTATTATTCAGGTAAAATCTACAAAAATGAAAAATATTGATGGAGAGCCCAGTACAATCTTTATCACACATAATATCACTCCATGCAAGGTGGATTTAGTATGCTTTAAAATATACTAAAACAAACTAAACTTATATGGTAAAAGAATAACATTTTTCCAGGTTCCCCAAAATATCTTAGTCACAACTTCCTACCTTTGATGGAGGGTTCAGCAATGAAGGTGAAGGTTCTGGAAGCCTAAGGAGTAAAAAACAAGATTTCTAGTTTTGGTTTTTCATAGATAAGCAAACAGAAAGCTGGACCAACTTAAGAAAGTAAGTCCTACTTTCTTCTGACAGCTTTGAGTCCATATACCTTATTGTACAATCATCTCACTGTAAAGAATAAAATTTATCTAAAAGAATAAATCTTCATTTCACTAATCAATTCCTTGTATTAGAATTGTCTGAACTAAAAAATAAAATTAGAACTCATTTGTTGAAATCAAATTGCTTTTCTTTAGCCACTATAAATTTGTGTTTTTGGCATTGTAGTATTTCTTCTTCATAAATAACGAATCTAGCATATATTTAAAAGTTAAAGTTATATTAACCGTTGACAAAAAGCCACACAAAATTCACCTTTCTCCCACTAGAGAGAAGTTTAATTGGCATATCTTTCTCCCCAAATCTGGTTATCAATTTTAAAGCAGGCTTTCCACACTTGAACACCACAGAAACCAGCTTCTGCTAGTTGTTTTTTTAAAGTACTATGTAATTTGCTAAAAACAGCAACTATATCTATTAAAAAGTCATTTTATCTCCATATATCAAAGGAAAGAGTAATTATAAGGATGAGGAAACACTATTAAATCATCACACACATAAAATCTGAACAACAGTTACTTAAATCTAGAAAAACACATTTTTTTCAGCCTAAGGTAAAGTCTTTATATTATTTCAAAGATCTTTATGAAAGAAGGAACACAAATGAAGTCATTCTTAAACCGTTCTGCCCTCACAAACACACTTGATTTTTTCCTTTTTTCAATTCCAAGTGTTGGGTATAACAAAGTTGTACTTAGTGAACATCCAATGATGGTAAAAATGGTAAAAAATCTTTAAATGTAACTTTCAAAAATATTCTACACACCATCTACTCTTTCTTTCCCACCTTTATTTCTATTAAAATGATCAAAAGAACCAAATTTGTTAAGTCTAACTAGGGATAAAACTTTTAACAGTCTACTGTCTAAAATCACACCAACTCATAATTCCATTCTTAACATGAGTTCCTGAAATCAGTAGCCACTAAATCAATTCATTTTAATCAATGAATATCCATTAAAATCACCTCCAAACCACAGTTTATGACATAATTCAAGAATAATCTCTTATCAGAAACAGTGATATGATACGCCATAAAGAAACTCTATTGCTACAACACCAAGAAGTAAAAAGTACTTCTTAATTAAGACTAAAGATGAACAATACTCACTTTAAATATTTAGATAAGTCATCACTTAATTCTTTAGGGATGTAATCAGATATCAGGCCATGGGCATAACGAATATAGTCCTCTGAAAGAAACAAAGAGTGAAAGAAAAGAATTAGTAATAAGTATGAAAGATTTAAAGTCAAATTGACCAGAGTTCAAATTCTGGCTCTATCTGGCCTTAGAAACTCAAGCTACTCACCGGTTTCCTCATGTGTAAAATGGGGATGCTTATAAATCTATCTGTCAGAGTAGTGAGGTGATATGATGGATGAGATGTAAGGTATTAAAGATATGATCATGTAAAACAAGTACAACATAGTAGACGCCCACTAAATGATAGTTAAACCCAAATTCAGGGTTGTTTTCTTAGTTGAGGCCTGTGAATACAAATAAAGTTCAAAAATCAGCTGTAACAGTATGAACTATTCATGTCCTTTGAAAAAGACTAATTGTTTCTAGGTCTGTTTTGATATAAAATAAATCTAATTATTGAACAATAATGAGTACACTCGTTTAATTATTAAGCTCTTGCTTTATAAGAGTCCTGAACATCATATATACTTCCAAACTAATAAAATGCTTTAAAAAATGTAAAAAACTAAACTCAGCAGAGGGTATGCTCATTAATTCTAAAGCATTTGGATCCTTACTACTGAGTATTAATTAAATGCAGTTACATAAGACAATAAAATCTGTTTTAAAGCCTTTTTCCTTAATTCAGTATTTTATGCAGAATACCAGGGGCTAATCAAATTTAATCGTAAGATGGGATAATCATATGGGGATATAAACTATGAATAACAATATCCCAGGTTTGTTGGGGTATTTATTAGCTTCTTTTTTTCTTTCTCTTCTGCCTTCAAGTTAAGACAAAAATTTGCCTCAGTATTAGAAAGTATCTGCTTCTTGGACCACCTGATCTCAAAAAGTCTTCAGTAAGAGATTTTTCACTGCCAACGTAAAAATGGAACTCTTCTCAAAATGGGTACATGGTTCTGGACTAGTAGTTACCAGTGAGTCATCAGTAGACAAAACCATTTTAAGAATGCCAATATATTGTTTGTTTGCTTCTTTTGGTAGCATATCAAGCTAAAGATCTAAAAAAGGAACTAGCATAAAGAGTGGCTGCGACACTGAACAGCAATATAGCCAAACCCAGTTCCTTATATTTAGAGATTGGTAAAAACACTGCACTAGGAGCAGACGATCTGGCCTATTAGCCAGGATGGGTGACCTTGGATAAGTCATCTACTTCTCTGAGACCACAATTTTTCATTTTTTAAAATGACATCTGTCTAAATAACCTCTAACATCCCTTCTCCTACTTTAAAAAAAATTACAGTTTCATCCATCCATCCATCCATCCATCCATCCATCCATCCATCCATCCACCCA